TAGGGATTGGACATGTTGGGGGGTACCCCTCGGTCTCATTTCTTGCTGGGTATCCTGGTTCGGGCATTGAAAGAAGAGACATTGGAGACGATATTTACATTTAATACAAATTCCAAACTCAGTTTGACCATGGAGGAAGGACACAGAAGGTGTTACAACTCTGGCACATCCAAATGCTCGATGATCATCGCCGCCCAGTCAGACGAACAATTGTGAACATTCCAAAAATGCCTGATTACTGCCTGCGGCTTAGCCGGACAGTGGGGCCAGTAATAACCTTGCAATATTTGGTGTGTTTGTTAACTACAACTTATCGCCGTGAACAGGAAACAGAGAGCGAAAATCTCTAAAATTAGATCTACTTTTACCATCGTAAATAAACTTTTTTTTTAGCTTAATACACTGTTCCATTATCCATGCAATGTTTGTAATTTGTCTCTCTTAAACGTCAGTTTTTTTGTATGAATTTGGCTAAGACTAGCCACCAACATGTTGACCATCACTGGACAGTTAAGTTCATAACAAACAAAATGCGCTATTTTATCACAAGGAGTGATCATGATATCTCATAAAATACCTTTCTCTATAAATGCTGTGATAAAAATGATTCAAATAAAACACAACTTATAAACATCTTATAAACATCTTGGCCTTTAATTCCCAAAATAACTCCAGAAGAAAACGATCGATCAGGGCAATGACTGCACATGAACACTTAGGGCAAACAGCCTAATACATATGCAAGCGACTGCGCAAGCATGCATTAAATTTGATGTTGTTGTCAGATTATACCAAGCACGAATGACAGTATGAATATTCAACTTCATGTGCACAACGTTTTTAAGGATGCAGATTACCAGCGAAAAATTGCAGCGATAATCATAGGATCCCCCCCCGTACAAAGGGGGCTTATGGTTGTGAAGCGTGGTGCGTAGCAAGCATTCGCTGCGCTCTTGCTATGGACGTACCGGGCATGCCATAAAGCGGTAATTGGCCAGATGTTATAGCCCGGGTAGTTAAAATTCCTTCTGTGTCCTGCCTTCATGGTGTGACGCCATCAATAGTTCTAAAGTCTTGTAATAGCAACGATGTGTCATACCTTTTGTCCTGGAGCAGGTCTCATGACAGATATCCGATCATAAAGAGATTTAACTGGGGTGAAGCAGGCAGTTAGTGCTTTCTATGTTGGAAGACAACAATAAACAGGGAGATCAAATGTTGAATTTCTTAATGCTTGGAGGGAAATGTTTGAGACAGTTCATTTGAAAATTTCGAGTAATTTTGCACGAGATGAGAATTGATGCTGATGTTGATTTGACAGGTACAACGTCTGGTTATCTTATTTCTGATATTTGCAAAATAACCTTAGTGGCAAACTTTGCCGACATGATTACACCTAATTCATTGTCAACAAACATTATTCGACTCTGTTCTCTCGATCTGAACCAAGTTATGCATCCCTCTACCCACCTTGAAGTTATCCATGCATCCCGGGGCTCCGTGTCTCATAGCTGCTGGTGTCTCATCAACCTCCTTGACGACCTTGGCATCCTTGGCCTTCTCCAGGTGGGACCCTCCCTCTGTGCATCCCTTGTCACCCCAGCGGACCTGTTCCAAGAATGCATTCGTTGAATTTGTGAATTTCTTCTTTCGGAAAACAAATCTGAAATCACTTTCTTAAATGCGAAGGACATGAAAGTACATTTTCAAGAATTATAAGCAAGTGCCCCTTTTAGTTTTCCGTTGCATGACTTAAGTCAGGTTTTGTTTCCCGTTACCAATTTGCTAACAGTGTGGCAACAACAAATGCTAGTCTTGCTACGAAGCTATTCCCACAAAGCCACTGAAGCCGACATTTGATTCGTTTAAGAATCAAAATGAAAGCACGCAAATCGCGGCGAAAATTATCTCCTCGGAATTTCTTTACACAAAACAAGTCACATGAAATCCGTGTTTTTGCAAACGTGTCAGGTATCAGGAACCGGAGCCTGGACAATGGCGAAGCCACGTTTTTATCAATTGATCCGCAAAAGTAAACAAAGGACTGAAGATATTTGTTCTACGAGGAATCAAGTCAGAGGTTGAGGATTTTTGTTATCTCACCGTGACTGGTTTCATACCACCTATCCCCCCACCACCGTACACCGAGGCGTTGACTGCCGGCCACTTCTTGCCGGAGGGCGACTCGGGCTCCTGGGGTGGAGGTGAAGGGGGAGCCTTCACAACCTGAGCAGAGGAGAAATAACAATGCTACAAGTTTAAAAATGGGGTACCAGTACAGCTTAAAACATAGTCTGTGGGTTGCGACCATTAAAAAAAGGAAGCAGGAAGAAAAGGGCTCGTCGGTTCCAGCTGACTTGTAGACAAGGGTTAGTTTTGAGGATGTCTGCGGTTCGAAACCTGAGGGTACACTTTCTTTCTTTCCAGTCTTTTTCCTGCTGAAAAGATCAATTTTAAAACCCATTTGAATCCCTGCACAAATTTGTAGTCTTACCGTTTGGTTTATTCAATGGAGAAACCCTGACTTCAACGCCTTATCGACTTGAGCCTCCCTTATTAGCGTGGCAATCATATCACATTTTACGATAATATATTACTGCCACGTTCTAAGTGTTGGTATTTTGCTGTCCAACCCTCGTTTATGAACGACAGTGGGCTGTTGGACTTAGTATCGGAGTTCAGTCTTTTAGAATAGTTGACTAATAAATTTAACATAGTCATTCAGCGAAAAAGAAATAAATCTGGGAATGGTATTTTGAAGTATAATGGCTAGGCAGACACTTTTTCTGTACTTTGAAAGTAAAAATGTTTACTCACTACGCAGCAGAGGATATTCCAAAACCACCACAAGGCCAACAAGCCAAGAATAAGGAATGTCAGGAGAACCCCCAAGACAGCGCCAGTAACATCAGGCTGAAAATTAAAACAAAACATAGGAAAACATTACTCCGTGAAACAGTGGCAGTATTGGTGGGAGGTGGGGTGCAGCTGGTAGGAAGCTTTGCAAGGGCGGATTAAGTTTCCTGAAAATAGGGAAAAACAAAGATTAATAAGCGGATTGAATCTCTTCTGTTCCACTGTTTTCCTATACCTCTAAGGTCGCTTGAACTGCAACTGTTTTACCTCTCCAGATATCATTCCGTTCATGTTGGATGTTCAAAGTCAACTTCTTCTAGTTTGGTTGACGTTAAAGAACGGAAAACTTTACATTTTGTCATAACTTTTTCCGATCTGTACTTGGTACCATATCACCCAGCTTATTTGGAAATCTGATATTTCTTCTGAACTGAAAAATGCCAATATTTGGAATTTCTCTGATACAAGCACATACCTGAGTACAGTCTCTGGCCATGATGGTCACATTGCTTGAAATAAAGGATATTCCATTGACAGACACTTGCAACACCACAAAGCTGAAGAAATAAATAAATGATTGTTGATAAAGCAAAGATGTTGCCAAATACGTTAAATTATATTCATCATATCACTCCATACGTTGAAAATCAAAATTAAACAAAAATTTCGGCAATAATTGACAAGAGACCATAAAACCGACACATTTCTCTTAACATGTAGAAACTTATTATCATGACATGCTGTTTGAGAACGGCAACCTTTGCGCATTTATTTACATGGACGCCTTACTTAGAGGACTAATATTCGAGTACGCAAAAAGGCACCCTATTACGTAGACACATAGATAAACAAATAAAGCAATGGATAAACAGACGGTGCAGGGTATTATACAAGCAACCTCCTATCTCTATATGGCTGACACTGAGGTCGACCACAAGTATCCTCCACATTTATTTCAACTTTACTCCTCATAAACTTGAGAACATGTAACAGATTTGCAGGAAGTGGTTTTCTGCTCTGACCCCAACCTACCTAATTGAGGTCATGAAGACTTTTCAACACCAGAACTTGGAAAATTTAAACAGGAAAAATGGATGTGATTTTAAACCTTGCACTCTGTGAGATGCTAATCTATAAGAACTCATATCCTCCGGTCATTGACATTCCAGGAATGGCGTAATGGTCATTTTTCTTGACTTTAAAGCATCATTGAAGCTAAGTAAACTCAAATATGCACGCAAAATCTGGTCGGTACTTCCTTTCAAGAATGGAGGAACTTTCTTTTGTTGCGCAAAGCAACCTTTTATTGCTAACATTCTATCGTGGTTAAGCACCGACGCTTCTGGAAGAAAAGTTTGTTCGGTTGGTTCACGGACATTGACTTTGGTTGCGTAATTTTGTACACTAACTTTGACAAATTTGGGTTTGTGTCTTGAGACGTATTACAAAGTCGAATCAACCCTCAATCCTGCTTCAGTCATGTTATATATACCCTGACCATCTCGGGTGTTTCATTCGTGCATGCGAGAACGTTGAGATTGTATAACAGCGACTCTATTTCTTAATTTTTAAGGTGCATCTCGTTAGCTTTTTATTTTTACAATCGTGAGCTTCTTACCGTGATATACTTTCCTACCAATCTAAATTTTTCTGGTATTCATAATAAGCACATTTCATCAAAGCGACTTCTTTCAACTTTCTGCCGGGTTCTGAAATTCGAGAAATTTCCAGGGTGTAAAGCAACCCCCCAACCAAGAAAATGAAGCCATTATTTAACAACGCTTAATCGTCAGGTAGGGTAACGCAAACATACCTGCCAGGGGTTGCAATCTTTGGAGCTGGACACAAGAGGTAGCTGGATGATACAGTGATCGGATGCACCTCTGAATATAACAAATACAAACTTTCATTTAATTCCAATTATCTTCGGAATCTAATGGGAGATATATACAGTGGTCAAAAAACTAATACCAATTGACATTCAATGTATGTGAGCGTTGATATCGAACAACAAGAAAGGTATACCAGAAAAGGAAGACAGAACCCGAATGTTCATATTTCATTTGTGATGCGGGTAGGGAATGTTAACGATTTTGAGAATCAGCTCCCAAACCGATGCCTACCTTGATTATCTGTGTCATTGAGCCTGAAGTTACAGATGACCTTACTGATGTCATCCGTTTTGGTGAAGCCGTTGCCGGTGATGCTGACATTAAATGCCTCTGTGAGAACAGAAAACACGGTTCAGTCATCGCAGTGATGAGCAACAAGTAATAGGTTACGCTGGAACTGCATGGGGGCTTGTTTTTTTCGCGTGTTATCATCTTGAGGTTTTTTTTTGAGAAAGGTCGGCAAGGCACCATATTCAAATGAGTCCAAGATGGCACAGGGTTTAGCTGGGATGTTCAAATTTCTGTGCATTCAACGCTCTCAACCCTAGTCTCAACTGGGGCCGAATTTCGGTGGTGAAGATTACTGGACCGATGTCAGAGTAGTGATAAATTATTCCCTGATGTAGTGGGTGGTGGCAAAATTCTTGGAGGTAGGAGATTTTGAACATTTAAAGAACCTCGATACTGACTTAAGCAACCCTTTTGTTGTATCAGGACTCAGAATCGATACCAAGATGAGGACTTGGCTACAAATTTGTAAAAACTCAATTTAAAATTCTTACCGCCAGCACAGATGGATGTCGGAGAAGCAGAGAGAATCTCAATGCAAGAAGTATTGACAATCTGAACGGGAAATAACACATAATAGTTCTCTTTAAAGCAAGAAAAAAAAACCCTTTCAGCTATTAAAACTGTTAACATTATGCTTTACTCAAATGTGAAGCAACCTAACACGATATGCTAAAAGCCACGAGACCCACTTTTGAGTTGAGGGTCTCTCTAATTGTCTTGCACAGTGCCAATAAATAGAAGCTTTCTGAACCCTTAACATACTTCATCCACATACTGTTTACTTTCACCCAGATGCCAGACTGAGTGACAATCAAACCATCGAGTTAAGTTTTCTCTTTCAAGTGCGCCCCCCTCCCCCCCCCAAAAAAATGGCCATATGAGTCTTCTCGTGGGATCTGGTCACAAACGACGTACCTGAATGATAATCGACTGCAGATCATCGAAGGTATCCCCGCGGAAGATGTGTTCCTTGGCGGGTGGGTCAGCTACCTTCTGGAGATCTCGCACGCTGCTTTCTCCCACCCTAACTGCCAGGATCTTGGCGCCAAGGGAGCGTGAGATTTCTGCCTGTTGAGGAGATCAGTGCAAAGAATTTCATTCATCTACGGTCAATTTGAAACTGCTTTCAACATTTAGATCTCAAATATCTACTTCACCAAAGGGAACACGCACATAAAAATGAAAGCTAGGGAAAATATTATACTAAGAAAACACTGCGTGATCCAAAGCAAAAAATCCCTCTGACGCCCTAAATTCATTTGTCATATCACTTTTGGGAATCACAACTAAAATTAAATATCCTAGCCAAGGATAAACAGAATCAAATGGGGATTAGAAGTGGTCCATTTATGCTTGTTTATCAACTTTAAAAAGAGCTCACAGATTATCGACCAGATAGCTGAAATACCACAGAAATGACTACTATCCTAAATTGAACGAATGAACAAAACGTTCCAGTCAAATTGTGAATCCATCTCAGACAACAGGGTCTAAAATTTTATAGGGTTATATATCATAAGACAACGGTCTGATAACCTAATTACAACTAACTTAGTGACTGACTGAGAGAATGACAAACTGACCAATTAATTTATGCAATTCAATGACTGATTCGTTTATTGACTGAACAGTAAACGGCAACAAATTGATGTAGAGTGATTTATCAATTATACTCTGACACCCTGATCATAAATTACTCGGCGATTCAGTCACGGAGTGAATGGCTGGTAACATTAATGACTGAATAGTTGACCGATTAACTAAAATACTGGTGAAACAGTAAAATTTATCGCACCTCTTTCGCAGCCTCAATTCTGTCATCCAAGATTCCATCGGTCAAAGTTATAATGACACTTGCTGTACCGTCATCTGGAAAGAAAAGAAGCTCATTCAGGATGCAAATAGGAAAATAACTCAACCCTGGAATCTTCTTAGCGTATCCATTCTTAACCCTTCCATTACTCAAACAAATTCCACGAGATGGAGAAAAGAAGTGGTTTATCGTCGAGGAACTTTTGAAATACGGAAATGGGACGAGAGGAATTTACACGCGAACAAAAGAGGGACAAACTTTCACGAATTTGGAACAGAAACTAAGTGCCCAGTTATTGCACAATTTCTATTAAAAATGCGAAGTCGTCAAGCATTTTGCTGTCGTGTGAGTTCATTTCAAACAACAGTCGATTATAATATGCTCCATCGCTGTGCGATGGAAACGAACAAAACGTTGTTTGGGAGGCATGAATTGGAAGCAGGCTCTTAAACAATTTCTTTTATTCGATTTTACCACTAACTGATGGAAAAAGGCTGTGCTCTTGTTTTCGTTAATTTTTTTTTCTTTGGAATTTGCGAAGAGTGATCATAAAAAATGGAACCCTGGACCTACCATGTGGTATTGGATTTCGAATATCCAGGCATTTACAGCGATTAAAAGCCACATGAGTGGATTTTTTAGCAGAAATAGAAAACATCATTATCTTGGGGGATGAGAACATGACCCACACATACCATCCGGATTAGAAAAACAAAATTTCTCGTTAATTATGCATTACCTGATTCTCTTATCTGCTGATTGGCCAATTCTAGACCCTTCTGTAAATAAGTTCCTCCCGAGGTGCCAAGCTGACGCAAATCTTTAATGCCAGCCTCTATAACGTTTCTGCATTTGCCAATTCAAGAGTAAGGAAATAATTGTTTTCAATAAATTTCTAACTAAGGCTACAAATATACACCACACATAATTAAATAATCCTATACTGAAGAAAGTTACAAAGTTAATGGGAGTAAAATAGCGGTTTTATTCAAAAATTGTAAAGTTCAACTTACAGAAATATGCACGATTTTGAAAAAGAACAGATTAATAAAAGAACGAAAAAAAAAGCTTGGATCAATCTTTAACCCTAACAGTCCTCAGTCCTCCAACAGGTGAAGGATTGAGGACTGTTAGGGTTAAAGATAACTAATGTACATGTATCATAAGGCTGACATGAAACTACATACACAAATAAATTACTCCAAAGCAAAGAGAGGAAAATTGAGGTATCATCATCATATTGTGTATACCTGTTTCGAGTAAGCCGCATAATTACGCTGGAAGAATCTCGACTTGAGAATGTGACGAACGAAACTCGCATCTTTGAACTACAAATGTAATCGAAATACACACATCATAAAAAAAATATTCAAAAGACAAAATCCCGTACCGACAATAAGCAAAAACACAGACAAAATTAGGCCAAATCAAGGACACAATCACTCAAGAGAATCTGCCGGGCAGTACCTTGTGAAACTTTGAAGTAATGTCTCCACGAAGTCCACTGTTTGTCTCTGAAAGTTCTCATTTGTAACACTTCCGGATCTGATAAACAAAAGACGGTGAAACTATGGTTACGTCCGATCACTCACCAAGTATTCGTGCGGTTTGTTTTTCGGGAGTTCGCCGCCGTGCAATAGATCAGAGCTGCCAAAACCGTCAAATGCTCAATTCGGATTTTTTTTCACATACACGAATCCAGTTACCGCAAAATAAAAACCTCGCGAATTCTGCAATTAAATATACAAGACAGGGACTTGCTTCTTTTCGTAAAGATAAAGCCTTACGCAACACTTTCCCTTCCCATTCTATTGCCAACCAAAACACTACATTCACTAGATCCTCATGGAAATTATATCCAATTTACGGAAACCCAAATGCGCATCTTCACTTATCGTCCCCATTTCTGTTGTTATCATGACTTTCGAAGCCAACCTTGCAGTTCAGTAAATAGACTTCGCTTTCATGTTACACCAAAGACTTTGGAAACTACATGTATATGGTGCCATTTTCAATTCCACCCCATGCAACCATTCAAAAGTTCTCAAATTTAACGATTGCCGGGACTGAAACCCACACGTATACATAGAGGTCTAGTAGTGATCCATTATGGAAATGCAAACGGAGGTACATGTACACGGATATAAAACAATGGCACTGAAAAATGTAACGTGGCCTCCTTTATCTTGTGACCGCGACTGACCGCCATCTGTATGCACTGTCTCTTCTCTGAGCCGGAATTGCCCGATAATGCCAGCAGGAAATACACCTCTTTATGTTGAAACCAATTTCCCCGTGTTATCGTAACCTATAAGTATGCATAATTGTCCAGACGAACTAAACTTGCGACCTTTTAACCTTGGCCCATTTGAACTCGAAAGTAAGGCAAAAATCCGAATCCGTAAGAATTACAGTTGTCCGCAAAATTTCAATATTGTAATGGCACAGTGAGACACACGACGTTTTAAGAGTATATATATGTATATCGTTACTTCAGATACTTGAGAATAAATTCACTCTCTTTTCTGCTCTATCTCTCATTCATAATCTCAATAAAACGCGTCACAGAATGAAATGACATTCACCTGGACGTTTTCACGATTGAATTCTTGAAATGTTTATATCTGTAATATGCAAAATATTCAATATGTAAGGCTAGACATCGCAGTCCAGTTCATTATCCAGTCACAAATCCATTTACGGCCGCTTTCCCTTTCCTTCAATCCCAAAGGTGTCTCATAACTATCTCAAAGGTATTCAGAAGAGTCCATGCTTCCAGACGAATACAGTTAACTGCTTTATACTTTAAAATGGATTTCAGTTAATGTCGGTTTGAGAGGAGACTAAGGAAACCATCAACTTAAATGGGTTTGAATTTCATGACAATGGCCCCAGAATTTGGACTGGTTACACCAGCTCTTCAGCTGTCGAAATATTTCCAAAAGATGTATTCCGAATTCGCTTTCCCACCCAGAAAATTGTTCAAAGAATACAAACTTTCTGAAAAATAAATTCAACACACTACTCCCCTTCCAAACATTTTTTTAGGCTGTTGCTTTCGATTGCCCTGCCCTTGAAAACAGCTTGGAGCCCTAACGGAGCCCTATGTAAATGCAATGGAAGAAAACACTTCACTGTCCCTTTCCGGCACAAGTGTTCGGAAATGTAACAAGTGTATTTGCATATCGTGCCTGGCCATTGTTCAAATGGTCATATGCTGCCCTTTCTCCGGTTTATTTCATGACATGGGCCCGTGTAGGCAAATGATCTACCAATTAAAACCATTCGTTCAATAATTCAGTTTACTTCCATTTCTGGTAGTTTTAAGAATTTCGTTTTGTTTGGTCTCAATGAAAACCAATTTCTCAATGGCCGAGGAAATCGGTTCGTTTTGTTAAGCAGTCGTGATCGATTATCGTGCCTGAGATTATGTTAGCCATCATTCCCGCAATCATGATTACTTCCAGTTGGTTAATTGTTCCTAGGGAAAAATGTGGGATTTATTGTCTGGTAGCGTGAATCCTGCCTTTGTTCGGAAGTCTGGGAACAGCCCGCATGTTGTTGCCGGCTCCAAATTCCACACCGCGTACGTAATGTCTTGAGGGGAGCGACCCCTGGTTCGACTAGACTTATCACGTGTTGCAGATTGGAGTACGCCTAGGATTGTGTCGAGCTATTTGGTACACATGCAACCTGCCTCATGATGCTAAGCTGTGCAAGCCTGCATCCAGAGTTTCATATGAATGTATTATAATGTGGGTGAATTAAGTGAAGCAGTTTGTGATTAAATTCGCACAAAAGAGGCTTCTTCAAGTTCTTCATCTCATTTTGCGAATCTATAGTCGGGTACATCGATAAGCTACTTTCGTCCAAAATTTGGAAAAATCGACCATGCGGAAATGAAATGATTTCCTCGATTTTGGGCATTTAATTGTTTAACAATTATACTGGATTGGCGCATTTGGTTCGAAATTATTTTCAAAACGGGGGGGGGGGAATAACAGCGTTGTATAAATTAGCTTTTGGAAATGTAGGCTAAGGGCGTTCTTGATGATACTATTGATAGATTAGGTTCATTCGGGAGAAAGATAACAAGTTGCAACCGTGATAACGCATTTCTACCTGGTTTGGTAGAGGTCTTTAGCCTATTGCCACTTCTGAGATATTCTTACCTGTCTAGTACGAAGTACAGATCAAAACCCCCACTGCATTGTGCTTCATTTGGTCCGGCCAAGAAATTGACGTTAGGGGGTAGGGTTGCCGCATGGGCGGTGAGGAGCGTCAACAAGACGGCAGACAACACAGCGGGCACACGGTGGAATTGCTGCTGACGGAACATTCTCGTACTACTAACTAACATCTCGGGGTAGACAAATTGAATAAGATAGTAGTACTGATGAGTGATGGTTTAATACCGGACTGCGAAAAGTTTGCAATGTGTACAGGTGTGCTCGTTGAATGAGAGTGGTCGCGTGTTCCGATCTGGCCCTTCAGTATGAGTTCCTCTACCAAAATTCTGCTGTGCCTGGGAAACGATGACTCATATACCAAGTAACCACGGGGCCTTCAGTGCACTACGTACAAAGACGGTGATGATTTCAACAATAAATCCTTTGACCCCGATCGGGCTCCGATTACGTGTACTTTTACGTTCCTTCGTGTTATCCTCGCAGCTGGTAGCTGGTTTGCCGATACAAGTCGGTATATGGAAAATACTGCAGGATCTGTCCGGGTAACATGCACACAGCCTGCACCCCTGCTGTGAAAACAGACTCCCAGACCTTTTGTGCAACGAGTGACAGAAGTCAATGATATCGTTGTGAGGGCTTTTCGTTTTGTAGGTCGGCTGGGCTTTGTTAAACTTTGCGTGTCGAGGTAGACTGACGGTGGGCACAACACTGTCAGAATAGATGATTTACAACGGAGGTTGCCCCTTTCACTCAAGCGCAGCTTTTCAGCACCAAATCAAAACCCAAGTGTGAAAGCAGTCTGACAGTAATGATTGGTGCCGTTTCGCACGCCAGGGTCGTAGAGATAAAAATTTTGGGCAGGGTCACTTCCACTGGAATGATAATGACGGAAGTCGGGCCTCAAAAGTTGCGAGTTCTTCACGCCGTTCCCCCCCGTCCAACCAATGCCAGGAACTTACAGGAAATTCCCCCAAACATGTTTTTTATTCAGTGCCACTTCCCTTCAACGGTATTTTGTTATTCAACAGTCCTGCTTCTCCAGCTGGCCAATTGATTAACTCCTTTTTTTTGTTTCTGTAGAGAAAAGTAGAGCAGAGAAACGGAAGAAATAAAAATAAAATAAAATAAATAAAAACATAAATAAATAAAAATAGCGTGACAATAATTGTGTTGGCCACGAGTTTCTGACGTATATTTTACTTAGTTTCTGTCTGTTCTTTTATCGCGACCGTATTCGAATGAAGGCTTACTCAAGCTTTAGGTAGATGCATTTTTAAAGGCTGAAACTGTCGAAATGAATTATATTTCTTGAAGTCGGTAGAGGACCAGATCCAGACCCCGCGAAGCACGTCATGTGCATTGAGACGAACCTGGCGGCGAGGTGTCGGGCAACGAAGAAAACCCAACATTTTGATTTTAATGTAGAGAGCCCTTCACAATAATGAGTCTTCTGGCTGACGTTCACGACGAATAAAAACAAAAACATTTCACCGATAATTCCCAGTATATCGCTAGTTTCAACTTTTGTTCCTAATGTGCACGGTACAAGGCCCTGCGTTTTCCTCTGTTTCTGAGAACATTCAAGTTCAAAGTTGACCTCGAAAAAAAGTTACAAAACCCCACACCGGAAGGTCTCTGCTCGAGTCTGCGATGCAGTTTCGTGCGACTTTGTGTCAGCCTTGCACACCATCCGCTCTCGTAAGACCAAACGTTTAAGCTGAACTTTTTTGGGAACAGTTCAGGGGCTCTCAGCCGAATGTCTATTGTTTTAACGAAGAACGATAAACCATCAGCTGGAGGAAACGATCATGACTCATATATCCTCTTTCCTGCGTGGTGAAAATGCCCAGAATAATATGCATGCACCACATAGCTCGTTGGTACAGCATTTGGTGGTGGTGATGTAGTCTATTGTTATTTTGAGGAGGGATATTTCTGGCGGCCTTCACAGTGCTGTTACCAAACTTGGTTCGATTTTGGTCCTGCTATTGGCTGCCGTGTCTTTGGCCAAAATCCAGCCGTGCGGTTGGCGCGTGTCGAACGCTTAGCCTCCGGTAGCCAATCATTGTTGTGGCTTTTCAAGTTATATACTATTCCGTACTACTACGTCCTCGCACGGCACACTAGTTTCGACCATGAGGCAACGTCAGTGGCAGTGACCTTTTTGTTTTATCTCTGTCACCCTGAATTTGCAGAGTTACCGACAGTGACTCAAGAGTTGATGAAAGGTCGAGAAAAGCCAAAGGTTTCTCTAGTGGAAGGACGTCCGTTTTACAAGCTTCGGAATTTCCTAAGTTCTGATCACACTCGACTCATCAAACATCATGTGGTGTAGCAAGCGTTTAATGAACGCTTTAGAGTCTAGAGACACTTCAAGTGAGTTTGGAGATCTGAAATTAAAGTTGAAAAAAAAATGGTCGAGGCTAGTTTTTGTAGCCTGCACTAAAGTACAGAAATTTCTGTATACTTGTAGGCTACTTAATCCAATCATTGTAGACATTATTGAGAATGTTCACTGTAAAAAAAAAGTTGGTCAGTGTTGGGCATTTGCCCAATAGGCCAACCTTGGTTAAAGTTACCACATTACTGGTTAATTTCCATCACTGTTGGTCAACATTCACCAACGATTGGGAGGAATTTTTCCAAGGTTGGGAAGTTGATAATTACACCAGCAATTGGCAAAATATCAACCCAAAATTGACCCACCTTTTACAGTGTTGTTGTTAGCATTTTTGCAGTTTGTTGATGAGCGAAGCTGGCAAAAATCGTAGATTTATAAAGATCAGTGACTCCCTCATTTGACTTACTCATAACAAAATACGAGACACAAGAAAATATACCTTCTTTTTATCGTCCCATATTTCTTTACTTCACATTACCCCAGACAAACATATAATGGAAACTTTTTAACAATAAAAGAACAGCTAAGATAACTATATTTTACATTGTAAGGAATACACTGTTTTATCAAAAGAATGGCAATCGTATTAAGAGGAATATTAAGCAGTACACGGTTTACAGTACTGTCGAGTAAAACATTTCCGCGAAAATAGACATTGTGTAAATATGAATAAACGCACCAACAGGAAAAGATTTGATCACAATCGCATTGTATTTGTGAACACTGATACATATGCATATGCGCAGACATTCGAAACTGAGGTCTTGTGACTTCAGCGAGTTGGAATGATCAAAACGAGAATAGTTACTGACGCTTAACTAAATCTTGAATACATTGGAGCAGCAATAACAGCAATAAAAGATTAACAAATGAAAAAGCCCCCGAGAAATGACTGTAAGGAATGTTATGAGAGCATGAATAATAGAGCAAGATTACAAGAGATCTGATCAAAGGAATCAAGAAATTGTTTCTCTTTTGTTCTCTTTGATCGGGACATACCAGACAGAATAAGTGCACTATAAATATCTATAAAATATACAAATTATAGCATACTGATATCATCGTCTACGTTGAGCGTATTTCACCAATCCGTAGATCTTGTCAAATAAAAAAACAACTTGCGGTGGTTTAAACTACAGCGGCGGTTCAAATTTAAACTGGACCGAATCTCGGTTAGGATTGTCAGACGCCCACTTTACAAACTTGTGTTCCAGAGCTTAGGTTTCGTTAAGTCAAATCATGTAAAAGCCACGAAATAATAACCAGTCATGATATTTCATAACGATGACTGATTTTCCTTAAAATGTTGCCCTTGTCATTACCTGTCAAACTGAAAACGTCATTTTAAATGTGCGTTTACTCCAAGAATGATACATCGATTAAAATGACCTATTCGGAGTCTTTTTTATTAATAACGGTAGTAAACCTCATTTTCTCCCAAATGTTACAATTTGTCCATTACTGTCACCCTAGATGATATGCTGTGTAAGAATGCCTTTAAGTTAAGCTCTCTGAACCGAATGAATGGTGAACCAAACCCCATGACCACCGCGTCTCAAGCAAAACAAACACGACCTTTCTGGAGACCTTGCCCAATACAATATAGCTGATTCGATACTTACAAATAGTATAAAAACGCCTGAGACGGTCAGTGCATGTATTAATGAGCACATAAAGCACTGTTATAAGTTGCTCAATACAGTATAGTGCAGTCAACATGGCAATAAAAAGGAACGGAATGAAACCGAAGTATAGTACGCCTATTGCGCCTCCAAGAGTTTGCAAGACGTTGGCCAATCACAGCGCGCGAAATCTGTAGACCCTTTCCAAACGCGCGTCGTGATTGGCCAAGGCGTTGCAAACTCTTGGAGGCGCACTTTTGTGAATCGCCCGTGTTGGTACTAAAGGAAAGGAGATGATCTACAAGATGATCCCTGATGCGCGTTGAAGGCAAGGGCGTAGATGCGGGTGTAGGGAAAGATGATGAAATCAGCCAAGTCGTTCGTCAAGAGAGCAAATTCATGTCAAATGCTAAATGAAGAACAAAAAAACCTACAAATCACGAGCAACACTGATTTTCCCCCTCTCATTCATTACATCCACATTTCTGACAAAATCCCCAGTTGACAGGTCCGGGGAAGGCGGTTGGGGATTTTTTCCCCCAAGTCCCGGGGATCTACGCCCTTGGATGAGGGTGGGGATGGTCGACGTTAAGAACTACACCACAAGTCGCTGGAAAGTGTTTGAATTAATCTCTGGCGGGAGATCCTTTGGGGCGGCGATCGCTACGCTACGAACAATAGAAGACCGTGGCTTGGCACAAAAACATGGCTCCATTTGCAGTAGAATTACACCAATATTGATCAATAATGCACAAGTCACGAAACACAACTGAAAACGAATCTCGTTCACGGCGAGACGTGGCGAGACTTAAGTTGCAGCTATATACATATCACCCCGTTCATATATTTCATACCGCATACCAGTTTAAGATAATAACTTAAGATGTATTGCACCAACTCCTAATGAACGTAAATAGCGTGGACACCCAAGATAAACCTATGTAGCATTTACAAGTATTAAACGTAGACTACGATCCCTTACGATATAAAAAGTCAAATGATATACAGCCAACAACTGTCATAAACAGGCTTATTCGTAATAAAGTCGTTCAACCTCTTCTTGTTCATTCGTATAAATACCACAATAACTAGTATAAGTGACAAAAAATGAATATAGTTAAGGTATCTTAATATATACAGAATGTTGTTATTAAGGAATGCCATATTGCTATTTCACAGAATATCTGAGTTGCATGCAAAACATTTTGGATGGGTATAATAGTATTTTAAAATGTTTGTGGAGAACAGGCACTTTGAGAAATGTTTGATGCATTTTACACTTGTTTTATTTGTCCTAACGGCACAGTTATGACCGGCACATAAGGGAGTAGCATACTTGAAAAAAACAAAAACAAACAAAACCCGAACGTCCTACAGAAGTACAATAAACTGCCACACTTCCAGCGCTGCTGTACGGTGGACTTAAAACTGAGTTGCATTTTGAAATCCACAATGATTTGTTTTACGGCGTTGTCGCGATGTAGTCGTGCTAGCGGCAGCCTGAATACATGCTATCGAAACGGACGCTTGTCGAGTATTTGGAGACCGTGGCAGTTCAAAATACAGTGCGACTGGCACGGTACACCAGACTACATGTATTTCCTTTCACAGTATGAACAAAGTTGACGTGTGGTAATAAAATCGAGTTCGCTAGCCCTAGTCCGATAAAGAGAGTGATTTTGCGGCTGTCAGATGAAGCCAGATTTCTGACGAGGCTGAAAAAGGAGAAAAATTCGAAGAAGAGGCGATGAAGTTTATCATTGAAAAAAAAAAGCCATTGTCGACAACACTGAATTTGGGAAAGGCAGAATTCTGTGCGTCGACAATTTTGTCGAAGAGTGCAGCTTCCCTTTTGTTTTCACTTCCCTCAAAAAGTCGATTTTAGGGGTGGAAATTATTTGAAACCACGAGATAGACATGCAAGCAAAACAAACGCCGGCAGACATGTTTTTTTTTCAAAAGGTATAAATATATTCTTTCTTTTTCAACATTATTTCAAGGATAACCGATCTTTTAAATTAATAAATACACAGTGTTGAACATCACCGGTTTATTTTTTCGGCGGAAGGTAGTAATCATACCTGCACCCGACGCGCGATTCTCAGTACACAGTCGGGTAAAATTGATAGCTCCCCCCCCCACTGCAAACAGAGTGCCCGTCGGATAAAGCAAACCGACCAACACGGTAGGCCAAGCGGCCATATGAGCGGTCAAAGTTCAAAGGAAATAATTGCTCCATGAACTAAAAATTGTCACAGTAGTTTGGAATACTTAAATATCGCTGGCCGGCATAGCTTTACAAGTTTTCTCCTTCATTTAAACGAGTTGTGAATAATTACATGTTTAAGGCTCTCAGAATTATTGACTTGTCCGAGCTGAATTCATGTTGGTTGATTTTATCACTGATCTAACGTTACCCAGGCGAGCGACACTTTGGGATCCTTGTTCCCCGCCGTGCTACCCGTGGTAGTGGTTCGCAAATCCAATACATTCTGTAGTCGGTTCCCGCCAACCATGGCGTCCAATGACGTCATGCCCACCAGGGCCTCGCACTGCGCATGCCCCTGGCTCTGGTGCTGCTGGGCCGTCCGAGAGTGGTGTTGTTGTTGTTGCTGCTGTTGCTGTTGCTGGTGATGTTGCGGCGGTTGTGGTGGGATCTGCAGCTGGGCTGGGGCCGAGTTCTGGCTTGTCATGGCGGGCAGGCTGGGTCCGGTTTTAGCTGATCGAGGGGGAAGAGGAGACAAGACCAGGCCGTGCAGGGCGTTTTGTTTAATTTAGGGGGGCAACTTGGACACACTAAGGGCATGCGCGGTCTGTTGGTAAGAGAGTCGAAAGAAAAAAGGAAAAATGGAGAGAGAGACAAAAAGGAAACGAAAAAATCAATGAAAAAATGATGACAGTGATGCACATGCGTGGAGCACATGCTGCGAGATGGGCGTGCGTGGTGATACAATACGTGCCTTTGAACAAGATGATCAATGGACACTACATCATACTATAAGCATTCACCGCTTTGCAATCCTTTAACTGGGTAGATGTAAGGTTGCAGCGACAGGCGAGAGTTCTGGAATCTGCATATGAGACGTTCGTAGGAAATTCCACACATTTCCGATTTTAAAATGACTTGAGCCCGCAACTACAACAGGGGTTATGGGTCATTAATAATTTCACGACTTTTTGATTAAAAATCTGACTTGCTATTCACTATACTTATAATGACGTCTACATTTTGTGATAAAGATTCACCTGTCAGATAATGTTGACCTTCAGCATTGCCTGACTCATTTCCAGTTTTTATTGTTTATGCCCGCCCCTTTTTCTGAAAACCCAGATCCACTCCTATCGTTCACCCATCCCCTGTCTAAGTTGTAATTTCCAAATCAGAGTGGGGAAAAACTGAATGTTAAAAGAAAAATGCAATATCAACACATGCACAAACTACAAAGAATCAAGAAAATGATTAAAACGAACATAAAACAATACTTTCGCAACTGGTGGAAAAATCCAGGGAAATAATGAATGTTTTTCTTCATCTTTGAAATCACTCATACATTTTCGTCAACACAAAAGTTACGATTAACTTCCCAAGTTCTATTAAAGAAACTCATCAGTTGATCGTGACTAGAACCCACCGTGAATAAAGCTCACAGCTTGGTTCCTTCAAAAATTACCAAAATAACGATAGCTATAGGCTCGTCAAAATAACAATGAAACCCTCAGTGCGACCAAACTCGTATTTCGTAGGGATGATCTCTCAATCGAACAATCTTAAATGTTTTCTTAACTTTCGAAAAACAAGTCCATGCATTTCCAGACGAAGTCACAGAACAGGTCTACATAAAAATTGGTCTTTGAAAAAATAATGTAAAAGGAAAAATACCAAAGCCCATTAAAGAGATAAAATAGACTGAAAATCATGCACAGACAATGGCCATTTTTTTCACCAATTGAGGGCGCTGCTGCATGTAATATCACTTTAGGATACGAACAACGCAATCAGTAATCGGATGTCCACAAATGTTTAGACGACTATTAAAAATGGAGACGACATTAAGTGTTATTGTTTATTTGTGTGCGTCGATCACAGACATATAAACACATAGACCATCAGTCTTGCGCGTATAACCGTGATTTTGAAAAGCCGTGGGCATGCAGTGGATGAAACGATTAATGGCAGCGCGTTCAGTGCGAATTGCGCGTGACGCACTGAAAATGTACATGTACATATTTATTTACATGCGCTCTCAAAATAACTTCACGTTTTTGCTCTTCGTTACTGGAATCTCTTCTTTTCAAATGTCGCAACCGCACTGTGTCGAATCTGCATGGACCATATTAAGTAAAAAAAGGGGATTTTTTTGCAATTGAAAAATTTTGTTGAGTCTTGGCTACGGTACCCCGCAGTTGTTTTGAAAAGGAGCTGTCCGTCTATGGGTTTATTATATCTTATCATTATTCTGAACAGCGCCCTCAATCAGTTAAGGATGTTAAAACATTGATTGAGATAGTGAATGCGTGATAGCTTACTTAGCAAGCTCTGCGTGCTTAGCCGTTGCCAGTCATTATAGTGGCTTGGTGTCATGGAAGAGAACTGAGGGTGGTTGTACTGCATGGATGAAAACTGATTGGAATAGTCACCTGGACGACAGAATAAAACAAAGCGAAATCCGATTATATGTACGTTTAAAAAATTAAAGATGGTGGAACTGGTAATGAAATGGTAATTTACTGGTCAATGCATTTCCTGATGTCTCAACCAACCGCGGTCAGGGATTCCAATCAATGTTATCAGGGGGACTTAATCGTCCTGCAAATGTCTGTTACCTCTTAACCAGCCCATTATCACGTTGGACGAAGTTTGACCCTTTTTGACTGAAGAAAGAAACAATCCATCTGAAGAATATCACCCCTCAACTTCAACCATCCAAGCCACGCCATTTCCAAACTTACAGCACATCCCAATGTACGTACAGACATACCAATTGAATTCAAGTCCCATCGAGATCAGCCAGACCAAATCAACATTCAAATGACACAGGAAAAAGAAAAAAAAATACTTCTTTGCGAGACGTACCTTCTCTGGTGGTGTGACCGTAGGAACCACCACCCGGGGGGAGAACCAGTGGAGGACCAAGGCTTGCATGTATGGAACCAGAGCCATAACCCCCTTGACTCGAAGTGGGATAGCCCGCATTAGAACCTACTGAAAACACAGGTACACCCAATAATTACACAAATGGTAGGAAAACACAAGTAACCGAGCTCCCCCCCCACAGGCTGCAAGAGAGCACGAGAAAAATTGGAAGAGAGAGAGCTAGGCGCCCATCAAAATGATTTTTATGCATGTCTATTCCAAGACAGACAAATACAAGTTTTAACAGAAAACTGTGCAATATAGGCAGTGTGAGATGAAGTCAGTGAATGGCCATTTCTTGGTAATGCACGCATATGAACACAACCAAGTACTCTCGAATACGTGGGATGAGGCATTCAAACAAACCCATTCAAACCTGAGCGACTAGTGACTGTCATTAATCTGATATTTTGCAGGACCATTTATAATTAAAAAACAAGCTAACATTTCTCCTGGACGATTTTCAAAGAAAGTTGTAAGGTGTGTTAAATGTTCAAGATCCCCTTGATTTGTATGCACGATTATAATTTCCCCTTGTTGTCAAGAACAACGTTTTTTTTCTCTAAAAGTTTTGCTATAAAATGTCCCACCTGGATATTGGCTGAAGTTGGAGGCGGCAGAGCTTAGCTGCGAGAGGGCGCTGTGGTTACTGAGCGAGTGATTATAGCCGGTCATGGTACCGACGGCAGCTGGCTGGAGCACGGTCAACGTGCCGCTGGCGGCCACCGCTTCGTGCTTGAGGGAACCGCCGCTGGTGGAGGACGTGATGGTGTGGGAAGCCGACCCTTGGAAGGAGGTTGGGTACACAATTATTCAAATTTTTTACTTTAAGTTGATCTCAAAGTCCAAATTTCACGCGTAAGACTTCACCGATGTATTACCTTAGATACTGAATCCAAAGAATCTTCACAATGAATTAAAATAAAAGATTGTCAGGCTATAAAAACCTCAACATTCCGTGAAGTTGTATTTACCTTGGTAGCCGCAAGTCACCGCTTGGTGGTGCTGTTGTTGGTGGGGGTCGCCCACGTGAGGTTTGACGTCAGACGCATGCGTCGAGGCACCGAGGGCGGCTGTCAAGGAATGGTACTCGCTGGTTGTGACCTGGACAAAATCAGTCAAACAGGATGGAAACAGAAAGTCTTTGAAACTGCGATCAGGTCAGAGGTAGATCGTCAGTAGACAGTAGCTCGAATGCTGGTCAATTCTTCCAACAAATTGGAAAGAAAATGGAAAAGAATGAATATTAGTTTCTAAATGAATGAAATATGAATGGAAAAAGTGACCATCGTACAAAATGGGAACGAAGGAACAATTTAAGGGGAAACGTAGTAAAAGAGATCAGACACGAAGTAACGAAAGAAGACACAAGACCTTTCAAATAAATTACGTCCAGTCAACTGCACAGAGAGACAGACGACTAAAACATGCAGTGGATGCGCTTGCCAAAGCATTTTAAGAACAAAATATTGAAAAAAGGATGCATAATAATAAAAAGGTAAATGAGATCGATCATTAATGCCATAATAACCTGTCTTCTGTTGCCATGGGAATCTTGGTGCATGAACAGAACGTCGGGGTACTGAGACTTGTCGATGGCCTTCTCCAAGGCTTCGATCTGGTGGGGAGAGAAGGCGCCCCCGTTCGTCCGCATCATTTCCCGGGCTTTGTCCTCGCCGCCCATTTTGCCGTGACCGCTCTCTTCTGAAACGAAAATCAGGGAAATGTTGGCGAGCTTACGGTAGGTAGGTGAAGTTCTCCGGAAGAGAGACGCCCCCAGTGACACTTTTGTTGTCCATGATAATTTGAGGAAAATTGGGCCCTCGACATTAATGAAAGTCGTATGCAGGTATCATTTCAAAAATGCGATGGGCTTTATAGGACTACGTTTATGTTGAGGGTTTGTCATCTTTGGATGCAAAAGTCATCAGTTTACTCTCCTGAAATTGAAAAGAAAGCAAACGATAAGGAAAATGAGCTTTCAATCTGGGTGTTCTGAGAATTTTTCTGAGTTTCATGAAGCAAAGGTTATCATCATAGCAGTTTACTTATCGGTCTGCGCGGTCAGCGGCTGCACCATTTGTCGAAACTATGGGTTTAATATTTTGTGGCCATAAATGTAGCACTTGCATGCCCAACCCTAGCGGCATAGGCCAATAATGTAGCGCCACCAACGTTGATATTGCGAAGGGGAGCGGCGCAAGTACAAGTCACTTCCAGATTGGGAGTATCCCTCTGTTATTAATAATTTGGCAGTGATATGAACTTGTTCTCTAGACAAAACGTTCATGCACCCACAAACAAACTCAGAGCAACGGCGCGGGTGTCTCGATCGGGATGACAAATCCTGCATGACGCTAGCCCCTCGGCCCTTCTAAGAATTTTCCCATTGCTAACAAGTGTGGCATTTGGTTTTGCTTTAAACATGAGTGACTGTCACAATGCAGCGGTCGCCTAATTAAGAACGGTGGGGACCGTCCCCACAACCAGTGGGCTCATTACGTGGTGTAGACCTGCGCTGTAAACACTGTAATGGTTGGACACTTTCGGCAACGAGGATTTCAAAGGCTTTCTAACCTTGACTCCTGGGGGGAATAACAAACACGAAGGTGTGGGTTGCCGCTTAGCCTTCGAAATTCAATGACATGAATAGCACTCGCTGTGACTGTATATATACCAAATGAAATGCTATAGACAAGTTGGAGGCCCAGCCTTTGCCAATAGGACACACAGAGACAAACGCGACATTTCAGATCGCGTTCCGAGGGAAACCACATCTGAGCGGTTCGCCTGGTTTCAAGGCTACGATGGCTTAGTCGCTGAAAAGGCCACAAGAATGCCGTTATTGTATGAGCTTGAAGAAATTACAAAAGGATTGACCGCCCTTCGAACCAATTCTCACCAAAAATTAATAACCTTAGCACAGAGACTACAAACTGGTGTCAAAATCCCCCCAGACGCGTTAACTTTGCTAAAGCAGTATTGAAGTGACGAAAACCGATAACTGCATGACAAAAAAGAGATGACACAACTCCGATCAGCAGCAAAACATGAACTCACACTTGGATAAAAAAAAACACAAAAAACCCAACCGAACCGAGCCAGCCAAAAACTATTAGAAAACACATCGTGGAAGCAGTTCCCGAAAAACGAGTCTTTGAGCACAAACCGTGACACATGCAATTTACAAGTCGGACGATTTCACGTGAAAAATGAATGGGCAAAGTAACCTGATTAATGTCGTTGGGTCTTGTCGATTTGGCAGACGGGTGATTCTGCCTGAGCCATATAGTAATCAATGTGCCCCCATAAATATTTATAGCTTATTCATTGGGTTTCCCCCAGTGATTTGCGTTCCAAAGTCCCAAAGTTGTTGTAGCAGTACATCTCCGACGGTTGACAGTGAGGGATAGTGGTCAGTCCGCCATTGGCCGGAACGAAAGTGATGAACTCGCGGTGGCACAAGTTCAAAATGTCAGGGGAACGTGCCCGAAATGCGAAACAAATCCACGCCACTTAAATCGATCTTAACTCTGCATATCACAGCTTCCCTAAAGTTTTGATCCTTGCTTTTCTAAAAAAATGCAACATACGTCAACAAGAGGCTTTTCGAGAGCCAGAGGCACAGGTTTCAAAGCAGCTTTAGTGTCTGAATCAGTCGATGTCTGATTTGACTCAGATTCGACGAGCCAGGTGGCATCTCGTCACACTGACGATTGTCGGCAGCGATGCCAACGTGTGTTGACTCCAAAGGTGTGAGGTTACACCGAACTCCTCATCTGAAACGAGAAATTTTTAATGTGAATCGATGCAGTCTTGTCACGGTTCATGATCATTCAACTCATAATTTAGCACCGTTAATTTGGTTGAGTGCCAAATATTAACACGATACGCGTACGTATTTGTGATATCGCACCCATGGCAGTCTCCGAAAGGTCAACGGATGGTCAGGTAACTTTCTGTGAAGCTTTTTGTCGCTGAAATGCTAGCCGCCAGAAGCCTTGGATACTTCTCTCTGTTGGCCAATTTTATTTTGATCTAATTACGGAAGGTTGGCAGTCTACAACCCGTAGACGGCGCAAAATATTACGACCAAAATACTCGTCCAGCAAGCTGAAAACAAACAATGTTTACGCTGTCTGAGAAAACAAAACCGAGTCCGAACAAAAACAAACCCACACCCTGCAGTGGGAATTCAGAGCGTTTACGAGAGAGTTGGTAACAGCACCAACCTACATGCGGTCAGACGGATTTTGACTACCACCGCCGCTGATCTCGATACGGCCGCCCGCCACTGCGTCGCCATTAGCGACATCGACGCTCCATTTTTTCCCCGCGCCCTTTTCTTTTGTCGCCAATAATACTTTTGAGAGGAGGGCCACCACCTTCGGGATATATAATTTCAGAAGGCTTGCTCGGGAAAAAAAGCCCAACCACTCGGAATGATTCTAGGAACAGGAACCTAAACGACACAGTGAAGCCCATGATTATTCCGAAACCCGATCGTGTACTGATGATCTGTTAGGTCGCTTCATAGTGTGGAACAAGCCTTCACGGTTTCGATGATGATTCTCGACTGTGAATGAAATGGCAGTACCGTATATCCTGTGACGGGTAAAAAACACTGCAGAAACACCAATGTTTGTTCTTACAGGGTTTTTATGTAACAGGCGGATCCCATTTAAATCATAGCCTTTAAGTCTATGGAGTAGCACGCATTGCTATAGCGTTGGAAAAAAAGCAGGGAAGAAATTGAACAGCATTGACATCACAATGATGTACTTGTCAGGACTGGTAGAATGGTCTCTTTTATGGTCCAAATTATAGAAATGAAACTCCAGATTTCCTTCTTTTTTAAAAGGAAGGTTGTGAAAAACAGGCCATGATGGGCAGCGAATTAGGTTGCGTCCTGGGCGCTTAGAAGGGCCGCTTTCTCACACGTCTTACGTGTTGCGAGTCGGGTGTCAGGCAGGGACTCGACAGAGTGTGGATTACTTGCCAAAACAAGAGACCGCTGATACGGTACGCCGCGATATAGGCGCCGTTTTCGTCCTCGCTCGCCCGACGGAAGGAATAACAAGGCAATGGAAAACAAAGAAAACAACATGGACAGTAACTGAGAAGTCAGATGAGGAGAAAAAAATCAATAGACGTGGATGTGAAAAACACATGGTTATTTTTTTCGGGCTGTCTCAAATTATCCATTTTAGGGATGACAACTGCATTGACGTGCACGCATTTAAAATTATCAAGGAATTAGTAGATGGAATCTCATGACATTTGAAAACATTCAGTTCCCTCATCAATATTAATGATCGTGTACGTGTTGCTACCTCTTTTCTGAATATTTTCAAACATTGTGCTTCACCGACAATCCTTTAATTTCATTTCTACAAATCTGAACTAATGTTGGCATGTTCATTCAAAAAAAAAAAACGCTTACTAGTTTACTTTCATTGGGACAGAACACTGCGCGCAAATTCATAGCGCTGCTTAAGCGAAAAATTTGTTGAAGCGTGGAAAAACCTTGCTTGACAAATCAGGTAAAACTTCTTGTGATGTATATAATTTTGGAATGGTATTTAGCTGTCTTTTGGTTAGCATGACAATCACATAGAGTTTGAGCTGGTAACCTTTGTTTGTTAAGCAAGGTTTTTTCGTGCTTAAGCAAACTCTGTGCTTAAGCAGCTCTATGAAATTGGCCCCTGCAGCTGGTTTGTTCGGTCAGGTTTATATTTTCCCGCGCTTTTTCGAGGAAGCGTGCGTATACAGACCTTGGATTAAAGTTCAGGATAGATTATACTGGACGTGTTTTTAGGAAAGGGAGGGGGAGCTGCAGCTGACGGAAGCTACCGGCAGCTAATTTGGCCCCGACAGCGTCGGCCTTGAAAACGCCATGATTTGTGCCTTTGCACGTGGCCAATTATTCTGGCCTAATGGATGGGAATTACAAGAAAACGTTAAGCGGATCGTCCGTTCATTAATGCAGCAACAACCGGCCGGCGCTCTGGGACTTGGACACATATTAACAAGTGGTTTTAATTATGACATGAAACTTTAATGTATATGATTGAGTTGGGGGAAACAATAGAAATTTCCTATCGACGGCTAATTCCTTCGAGAGCGTTTACAGCTGCTGTATAAATTTCGAAGTGCAAGTAATATACTGACCGTTTCCATCAAAGTTCACATATTATAGACGAAGTTGTGAGTGCTAACGACATTGTCTGTTGGGGTCCAAATACGACTTCTAATGAGCAATTTTTGTTTAAATTAAGTAATAAAATTGTGTAAATGCGACCGTTATAAAAAAAGACACCCCTTTTATTTTGGTACAACCTCATTTGCCTTTAACTTATAATCGCCATTTACATTCAAATTAGACTAGCGCCACCAACGTTCGATTTTGGTCGCAAGCTCATTCTTCATTTTCCAGAGACGTCCTATTAATGGCATTTATCCCGTCTTCGTTCTTTTACAGGTAAATAATCACTTTCTATTCATTTTCATTTTAAATCTTAACCTGCACAATCTTACACATCATAACAACCCCCGGGTTATTATCTCCTGTTGTATTTCCTTATTTTAAAGGCATTTTCTTTCTCACACATTCATGAAGATTAGTCATTGTCGGAAATGAAATGTATCTTTTATAGATTCTCAATCTAAAACGGACAATTATACAGCTTCCTTCAGCCCTCTGG